TCCAGGGGCTCACCGTGCAGGGAGCCTGCGCGCGCGCGGCGCGGCCGGCCCGGCCGAAGGGCCGGCAACGCCTCTCCGCGATGCTACCCCGCGGTCTGCGCCGCGGGAAAGCGCGGAGCTCTGCCCTGCTCGGGCCTTCCCTCGGGCTCTCCAGAGAGTCGGGCTCTTGGAAATGGACGTAGCGGAGAGCTCGGCAGCAAACGCCGCCCTTCCTTTCGCTCGGCCTCGGCTCCAGCACAGCTTCCCTGCGGAGAGCGGGAGCGGGAACTGACCGGAGCCGCCGGATTCAGCTTAGGGACAGGGCTTCTTCCGCGCCCCTCCGGGGAGCCGGAGCCCGTGTCCACTAATGCCGTGCTCGCTCTGGCACAGGGCAGCGTTTTCCGCAACTGCAGGCCAGCGTTGCCGGAGTAGGACAAGCTGATGAGTGATGGGACCCAGGTCTGTCCTGGCCCGGCTCTTGTTGATTTAAAGGACTCGGTTCCTTCTCCCCAAGGCTTCTGCCATCCCACAGGCTGTGGCTTGGGCGGCCGGGAGCCGGGAAGCAGCTGGGATGTTTCAGAGCAGAGGCATGTGTGCCCTCCCGTGCTGCTTGATTTCCTTTCTGAGGAGCTGGGAAGCCTGTTTGTCCTGGGACTTGTTTCAAACAAAGGTCGACCTGTTTCTTTCTAATAAGGCCACGTGGGTTTGCTTCCCTGCTGCTGCGGGATGTTTCTGAGCCTCCTTCCCCTCAGGCCCGGTTCCCTCTGCTCGGGGTTCGCAGGCGTCCCCCGAGGTAACAAGAGTGCCGTGCATTTCTTTCCAGTACGAGGATCGTCATGCGAAGTGGGACGTCAACCAGGCCGGCTTCAGCCACAGCCACCAGCACGGCTTCGGCTTGCTGAACGCCTGGAGGCTGGTTAACGCTGCCAAGGTAACTCCCCTCCCGTCCCGGGCGTGCCCCGGGGCAGGTAGAGCAGACCCAGCCCGGTGGCACGGTGACAGGCCACGGACGTGGGGTGACACTTGCCGTTCAGGGCCGGCGCTTTGGCCGTCGTCCTGCCGGCCCTCGCTATAAGGCTGCTTTTAGTGTGAAGTAATCAGGCTTTCGGCAACGCCTGAAACCTGCCCCCCAGCTGCTGCTCTCTCAGCACTATATATAGCCATGGGCGAGAGCCTTCGCTGGTGGGAGACGGCAGCTCTGATTCACGGCTTGGGGAGTTTCGTCAGCAGCCCCAGCACCTTCCTCCCTACGCAGTGGGCTCCAGGGAGGGCGTCGTGCCCCGAGGAAGCGGGGCGCTCTCAGCTGGCAGCTCCGGGCTCCGCGTCCCGGGGGCCGCTGGGGCTGCCGAGGGAGCGGTGCGGTCAGAGCAGGCAGGGGCGTCCCCGTCTCTTCCTCCCCGTGCCTCCGGTCGCGCGGAGGCCAGGGCACGTCCCTTTGCCGCTTGGTCTGGCTCCTGCGTAGAGCGCGGCGCGGCTGTGCCGGGGCGCTGCCGGTTGCCAGCAACGCCCCCTCTTTCGCAGGGACGTGCGGGCTGCTCTCTCGTCCCGCAGGGCTTGGGGTTCTGCTACGTTTCCTGCCCCTGGGGTTGAAACGGAACGGCTTCAAGTAACGGCTCC